GTCTTTCCCTTCACCTCCTGCCTGGTCCTTTTTAACTGGAGATGCCGGGGATTGAACCTGGGACCTCCTGCATGCCAAGCAGAGGCTCTGCCGCGGAGCCATAGCCCCTCTTTACAGCTCTCCAGGGTCTCAGGCAGAGGTCTTTCCCTTCACCTCCTGCCTGGTCCTTTTTAACTGGAGATGCCGGGGATTGAACCTGGGACCTCCTGCATGAAGCAGAGGCTCTGCCGCTGAGCCATAGCCCCTCTTTACAGCTCTCCAGGGTCTCAGGCGGAGGTCTTTCCCTTCACCTCCTGCCTGGTCCTTTTTAACTGGAGATGCCGGGGATTGAACCTGGGACCTCCTGCATGCCAAGCAGAGGCTCTGCCGCTGAGCCATAGCCCCTCTTTACAGCTCTCCAGGGTCTCAGGCGGAGGTCTTTCCCTTCACCTCCTGCCTGGTCCTTTTTAACTGGAGATGCCGGGGATTGAACCTGGGACCTCCTGCATGCCAAGCAGAGGCTCTGCCGCTGAGCCATAGCCCCTCTTTACAGCTCTCCAGGGTCTCAGGCGGAGGTCTTTCCCATCACCTCCTGCCTGGTCCTTTTAACTGGAGATGCTGCCGGGGATTGAACCTGGGACCTCCTGCATGCCAAGCAGAGGCTCTGCCGCTGAGCCATAGCCCCTCTTTACAGCTCTCCAGGGTCTCAGGCGGAGGTCTTTCCCTTCACCTCCTGCCTGGTCCTTTTTAACTGGAGATGCCGGGGATTGAACCTGGGACCTTCTGCATGCCGAACAGATGCTCTGCCACTGAGCCACGCCCGCTCCCGATTCTCAGTGAGGAAGGGGGACCATACATGAAACAAACAAACAATCCACAGGGGACAGTAGGGACTCTCAGCTCTGGGTTGGGAAATACCTGGAGATTTGGAGGGGGTGGAGTCTGGGGAGGGCGGGGTTTGAGGAGGGGAGGGGCCTCATTAGGGCATAATGCTATAAAGCCCACCTTCCAAAGCAGCCATTTTCTCCAGGGAAACCTGATCTCTGTTGCCTAGACATCAGTTGTAATTGATGCTCCCTCTAAGCTGTGGAGTCTTGTGAGCAACAATTCTACTTTGGGAGCTACCAGCATGGAAGTTGTGTGAACGAGCAATTTGGCGACTGCATCAATTAGTCGGCTCTGGAGCCCTCCTCCCTGAGCCAGGACAAAAATGTGTGAGCCAGAGGCTAAGAAACTGTGAGTCGGCTCACACTAAGTCAGCTTAGAGGGAACACTGGTTGTAATCCCAGGAGATCTCATGCCACTGCTTGGAGGTTAGGCACCCTAGCACAAGTGCTCACTTTGGGTACCAGACTATTTCCGGGTTTAAAGGTTGAGATGAGCATCTCGATTTTTGCCCAGAAAGATATGGGTTAGTCAGTGTAAGTCATGGAACCAAGAGACGCTCCCTCTGGCCCATATGGTGGAATGAGTTCCCGGAGGAGATCAGGGCCCTGCGGCACTTCATACCGTTCCGCAGGGCCTGCAAGAAGGAGCTCTTCCGCCAGGCTTCTAACTAGAGTAACGGACGTCCCTCCCTCTTTTCTGGGCCTTCTCAGCCCTGGCCCCTCCTTGGTGGAATGAGCTCCCATACGAGATCAGGGCCCTGCGGGATCTTTTACAGTTCCGCAGGGCCTGCAAGACGGAGTTCTTCCGCCAGGCTTTTAACTAGAGTGACGGACGTCCCTCCCTCTTTTCTGGGCCTTCTCAGCCCTGGCCCCTCCCTGGTGGAATGAGCTCCCATACGAGATCAGGGCCCTGCGGGATCTTTTACAGTTCCGCAGGGCCTGCAAGACGGAGCTCTTCCGCCAGGCTTTTAACTAGAGTGACGGACGTCCCTCCCTCTTTTCTGGGCCTTCTCAGCCCTGGCCCCTCCCTGGTGGAATGAGCTCCCATACGAGATCAGGGCCTTGTGGGACCTTTTACAGTTCTGCAGGGCCTGCAAGATGGAGTTCTTCCGCCAGGCTTTTAACTAGAGTGACGGACGTCCCTCCCTCTTTTCTGGGCCTTCTTAGCCCTGGCCCCTCCCTGGTGGAATGAGCTCCCATACGAGATCAGGGTCCTGCGGGACCTTTTACAGTTCCGCAGGGCCTGCAAGACGGAGCTCTTCCACCAGGCTTTTACGTAGGAGCCGCCACTACCACCACCAACAACGGCGTGGGTAACAACTTGGTAAGAGGACGGCCCTTGAAGATCTGCCATGATACCGCGCTGGGTGGGTACCACTGGACTCGCCGCGTACTTCTACCTCCAATGAAAGATCCGGCACCTACCGTTGGAAAACCATCTTGTTCTTTATTGAGCACCTTACTTTTGTGATTCAATGATTTTATTCTGTTTTATTCTGTTTAAATCTTGTTTTCTATGTGGGCATTGTTGCCCTCTTGTAAGCTGCCCTGAGCCCGCTCGCGGGGAGGGCGGGGGAAAAATACTAATAAATAAAATAAAATAAAATATCTGATAAGGGCTTGAGTGAGGCTGGGCAGCATTTGGACCAACTGAGGCTTCTGGGCAGGCAAGGAAGCATTTTACCAAGGTCTAGTTTATCCTTCCGGCCCCCTTGCGGGTCTTTCCCCACCTAAGTGTCCCAAGAGAATGCAGCGTCCTCATACCAAGGGATTTGAAGAGCTCCGGGCCCGCAAATTTGCCTTCGAAGAAGACTGTCCGGTTTTCGGAATTGAAGGCACGACACATTCTCACCAAGACCACTTCCATGGCACCTGGGTGGAACACACAAACATATTTATTGATTTATTTATTTCACTTTTACCCCGCCCTCCCCGCTAGGCAGGCTCAGGGCGGCTTCCAGGAACTGACAAGCAGTATACGTTCACAATAAAATATAAAACATCAGTTAAAACACAACCAGTCAATATAAAACATTCATTAGATGGCGATAAAACTAAAGTGCAATTTAGGGGCACATTTGGCGGTACCGCCGCATTAGCTCGTATAGGATCAGAGTTCGCCGCAGGGCGCTGCTGGTAAAACGTCGCTCCTATCGGAACGCCTGCCTGAAAAGTTCTGTTTTCACGGCCCTGCGGAACTGTGACAAGTCCCGCAGGGCCCTGATCTCGCCAGGGAGCTCGTTCCAGTAGGACGGAGCTACAAACGAAAAAGCCCTCATCCTGGTTACCATCAACCTGACTTCCTTAGGGCCAGGGAGGTCCAGGCGGTTTTAGGATCCTGATCGCAGTGCTCTCTGGGGAACATACGGGGAAAGGCGGTCCCTCAGGTAGGCCGGTCCCTGACCATAAAGAGCTTTAAAGGTCAAAACCAGCACCTTGAAGCGAATCCGGAATGCTATTGGCAGCTAGTGCAGAGTCTTAAGCACAGGCTGGATATGCTCCCACCTGTGGAGGCCCATCAACAGCCTGGCCGTCGCATTCTGCACCAGCTGTAGCTTCCGGAGTTGCACCAAGGGCAGCCCCATGTAGAGAGCATTGCAGTAGTCCCATTGAGCAAGTTCGCTGCTATAGATATCTTGGAGTTATATTTCAGTCGTCTGGTCATATGAAAGGCCATGTTGATTACCTGTCAGCCAATGCGAAGAAAAGTGCTGGAGCTATTCAGAAGTTCTTTTGGTCCAAAGGAGGTCGCAACTTAGAAGCTGCCATTAAGTTATTTACTATAAAAGTTTTACCCCAATTATTATATGGAGCTCCTTTGTCCCTCCTGGCAAATTTGACCTTACTTGAAAGAACGCAATCGAAATTTTTAAGAGCTATTTTTCAAGTTCCACCAAGTGTTTCAAACGCTGCAATCCGCTTAGAGGCTGGCCTGGTCACGGTGGAGGCAAGATTGTGGATTGCTGCATTTCATTATTGGTTAAAACTGATTTTCTTATCCACTGGCCTTTCCCATACTATGATGCAAGACAACTTTGTTCCTTTATGGCGGAAACAGATAGAAGATAAACTGGTTTGTTATGGTTTTTCAAAACAATTTATTCTGTCCTTGGGACATGAGCAGGCTAGATCAGTTCTAAAACAAAGAATACTAGATGTTGAACGACAGATGGACGTGAGTAGGATTAGGAGCCCTGTATTTGATGTAAGTACACTTAATAAGATAACTTTGAGATCTTATATCAAATATTTAGATATTTGCAACCACAGAAGAATTTTTACCCTATTAAGATACAACGCCTTACCCTCAGCCATAATGGAGGCAAGATATACTAGAACACAGAGGAAAAGTTGTATATGTGGGTTGGGAGCTGACGAAACATTGGAACATGTAATTTTTGATTGTATTATATATCAAAACATTAGGGAAGATTTGATCAAGCCTATAGTTAATTCCTTTCCAGGTCGTAATAGAAGCATACTTTTGTCAACTATGCTGGCAGGGGATAACCAAAAGCTGACTAGGATGGTTGCCAAATTTGGTTGGTTGGCATACCAAACTAGGAAAGAAATAAAGTACAGATAGGCCTAAATCTAATTTCTGATCTTAATATTGATTTTATCATGTCTGTATTTTAACACTTTTAGATTCTTATTTATAATTTTAGATGCCATAATATTTTATAATTTTATTGCTCCCTTATCTGTACTTATCTGTCTTCTATTATACTGGTCTATGACCGTAATAAAGGCTTGTTGTTGGTGACAACCCAGCCCATGCCTCCGGGCAATCTGGGCAAGGGGGCGCATATAGATGTTAAACAACATCGGGGAGAGAACTGCCCCTTGAGGCACACCACACACTAGTGGGTGCCTTCGGGACTGCTGCTCCCCAGTAGCCACCCTTTGTCCCTGACCTTGGAGGAAGGAGAAAAGCCACTGCAAGGCGAGCCCCTGAATCCCCATGTCGGCGAGGCCACATGAAGCCAAGGCACCCTCTAAGCTGTGGGCTCTTGTGAGCAAAAATTCTACTTTCTGAGCTGCTGGCTTTAAAGTTGTGAGCGAGCGATTGGGCTACTGCATAAATTAGTGTGCTCTGGAGCCATCCCTTCCTGAGCTAAGACAAAAATCTGTGAGCTGGAGGCTGAAAAACCGTGAGCTGGCTCACACTGACTCAGCTTAGAGGGAACCCTGCATGAAACCGCCTTATACCCAATCAGTGAATACGACGGGACCACCAGCAGCCCTCAGTCAGAGCAAAAAGCAGCCAGGTAAGTTGCAGAGCTCCCCCCAGCCCCCTGGTCCAAAAGAGTCCAGTGGCACCTTTAAGACCAAGTTTTATTCTGGTACAAGCTCTCCCTCCTCTGTGAGGACAGAGCTGCACGTTCTCCCCCCCCCCAATAGCTAGCAATCCAAAACAGTCCACTTCCGGTGATGTCAGGGGGTGTGGCCTATGCAAATAAGTTATGCTAATGAGCTCCTGCACCTCTTCTTCTACGAAATGACCCCTGAGTAGGACCCACATATAATGACTGTCAACGCTTCCTGCATTCCAGGCCTCAGATTCTGAACGCTGTACCTTCCAATGAGTAAGGGCTTCCTGTAGGTACTCCGTTCCTCCCCTACCACCTGCAGTCCCCACGCCACAAACTTCCTCCACCCAGATCCCCTTTGGGGGGGGTCGCCTTTCTTCTCCCCGCCCCCCCCCAGCAGAGCCATGCCCCTTACCCGCTTTGAGAAGCACGATTTGATCGTTTTGGCACAGATCCATGAAGCTGCCCATCCGCTTGGCGAACTCCACCACGTACTGGATCGCTTCCGTCACGCGGCAGGCGCAGCGCTCCCACATCTCTTCCATGGTCTGGGCGAGAGGGAGACAGACAGACAGACGAAGCAAAGGAGGCCGGGTCACGAAAGGACGTGCAAAGCTGCCTGGCGTGGAGTCGTGGCCGTCGCTCCACCTAGCTCAGCACATCGACTGGCTCTGAGAGCGCGGGTTCAATTCCCTACTCCTCCGCGTGCAGCTGCTGGTGTGACCTTGGGTCAGTCACAAGTTCTCTCAGAGCTGTTCTCTCAAGGGCGGTTCTCGGGAGAGCTCTCTCAGCCCCACCTACCTCACAGGGTGTCTGTTGTGGGGAGGGGAAGGGGAAGGAGTTTGTAAGCCGCCCTGAGACTCCTTTGGGTAGTGAAGGGCGGGGTATAAATCCAATCTCTTCTTCGACACATAAAGGTCTTTCCCTATAGCAGTGATGGTGAACCTTTTAGAGATCGAGTGCCCAAACTGCAACCCAAAACCCATTTATTTATCGCAAAGTGCCAACACGGCCATTTAACCTGAATACTGAGGGTTTTACTTTAGAAAGAACAACTCATACATTAACATAAGCTGATCCAAACAAAGTAAGGAACGCAATCCCAAATGCTTTCATTTACTTAAAATTATTTGGACGAGAATTCCACACTTTAATGACGGTCTGGGCCTGGCTGGGGCGATGGCACGCGTGCCCACTGAGAGGGCTCTGAGTGCTGCCTCTGGCACCCGTGCCATAGGTTTGCCACCACTGCCCTATAGCTTCTAGCTGGAGTCTTTTAACTGGGGATGCCATGGACTGAACCTGGGCCTTTTGCATTTAAAATCAATCCTGCAGTGTGGAGTCACACAGCTCCACTGAGCCAGAGCCCCTCTTTACAGCTCTCCAGGGTCTCAGGCGGAGGTCTTTCACATCACCTCGTACCTGGTCTTTCAACTGGAGATACTGGGGACTGAACCTGGGGCCTCCTGCATGCCAAGCAGAGGCTCTTCCACTGAGCCACAGCCCCTCTTTACAGCTCTCCAGGGTCTCAGGCGGAGGTCTTTCACATCACCTCGTACCTGGTCTTTCAACTGGAGATACTGGGGACTGAACCTGGGGCCTCCTGCATGCCAAGCAGAGGCTCTTCCACTGAGCCACAGCCCCTCTTTACAGCTCTCCAGGGTCTCAGGCGGAGGTCTTTCACATCACCTCGTACCTGGTCTTTCAACTGGAGATACTGGGGACTGAACCTGGGGCCTCCTGCATGCCAAGCAGAGGCTCTTCCACTGAGCCACAGCCCCTCTTTACAGCTCTCCAGGGTCTCAGGTGGAGGTCTTTCCCATCACCTCCTGCCTGGTCCTTTTTAATTGGAGATGCCGGGGATTGAACCTGTGACCTGCGTGTCAGGCAGAGGCTCTGCCACTGAGCCACGGGCCCCTCCTGTAGAACTTGTGGTTGAACTGTTTTATGTACCCTGGGCCGTCGGGCCGTCGTCTCCTGTCTATGCCAGCTGGCAGAAGCTCTAGCCTAGAGATCTTTCCCAGCTCCTCCTGTCTTTCAAGTGGAGATGCCGTGAATTGAACCTGGGACTGTCCGTGCAAAGTAGGGGACCTGCTGTGGAACTACGGTACCTTTCCTAAAGCGGGATCACCCCTGCTGTGGATCTGGTCCGTTATCGATACTCGACAACTGCAGTATTAATCTCCCGTATTAATTCATCCGACACTCTCAAAGCGAGATCTCCCATATGAATTTATCTGACACTCTCACGGGGTTGTTGTGAGCATAAAATGTAAGGCTCTTTCGTCCCCATTGGGTAGAAAGGCAGGGCGTAAACAAATTAAATAAAGAAATAAATTTCTTAGTGTGAATACAGCGAGAAGACAGATATTCCAGAGCCCCAAGCTCTGGCGACCGGCCACCGATATTTTTCTCCTCCCTCTGTGCACCCGCAAAGCCAAAAACAATCCATCCCAATGTTCAAGAGGCAGACGCTCCGGAGCAATTTGGCTCCATCTGCCAGACTGAGTCACTGTTTAGCCATTCCAGAGAGAAGGAGAAAGATTCTCATTACTTAATGGGTTATAACAAGCGGCTGAAATCAAAGTGGATTTCTTCCCTATTCATCATCCGATTCTGCCATTGAAAATTTTTTAATTTTTTAAAAAACGCCATAAATCAAGGTCCTCACAGGCACCCGCGAGGGCTGAGGGCCTCGGCAGGCACCAGGAAGAGGAGAAAACCAAGAGTCGCACCAGCTGGAAAGCTCAATGTCTTTGGAAAAGTACCAAAACCCGATCTTTCCAAAGCAAAGACAGAGACCGATTCCCCACAAGCTGGCCCCACTGCTGGACCTCCTGATGGCACCTGGTATTTCTGGCCACTGTGTGACACAGAGTGTTGAACTGGATGGGCCTTTGGCCTGATCCAACATTGGCGTCTCTTATGTTCTTATGTTCCCTTTGCCCCCGATCGTACGTGTCAATTTCACACTAAGTGCTGCGCGGCCGCATTTTGCCCCGCAGCTTCGCCCGATTTTCCCCGCATCTACTCAGTCCTGTTTTTTGAGGATTGAGTAGATGCGGGGAAAATTGGGCGAAGCTGCGGGGCAGATGCGGCCGTGCAGCACTGAGTGTGAAATTGACACGTACGATTGGGGGCAAAGGGAAGAGCGAGCGTGGAGCAGCGGCTTGTGGGAAATCGGTCCGAGAGTTTACCATTTGAAGGCTGTGTCGATCTGCACTAGAAGACCTGGATTAAAGTCCACTAGCATCTTAGAGACCCAACAAGATTTTGGGGGCAAGAGCTGCCCATAGTCAAAGTTCCAATTTGTCCGATACCAGGAGGTGGGCATTTATCAGTTTATCAGTGGTTCATTTATATAGTTTGGTGTAGTGGTTAAGTGCGCAGACTCTAATCTGGGAGAACCGGGTTTGATTCCCCACTCCTCCACTTGCACCTGCTGGATGACCTTGGGCAAGCCGTAGTTCTATCAGAGCTGTTTTTGAAAAAAGAGCAGTTCCTGTCAAGAGCTCTCTCAGCCCCACCCGCCTCACAGGGTGTCTGTTGTGGGGAGCGGAAGGGAAAGGAGTTTGTCAGCCGCTCTGAGACACCTTTGGGTAGTGAAGGGTGGAGTATAAATCCAATCTCTTCTTCTCTTCTTCTTATCTTTCTGGTGTTGTAGTACAAGTCACAGAGAGTGATGAAAATGTGGAATTTTCAGCCAGAGGATGTAGTGATGGCTACAGGAATAAACAGGTTTAAAAGGGGATAGATTCAAGGAGGATAAGTCTATGAATGGCTACCAGCTGTGGCAACTGAGGGGAACCTCCACATTCAGAGGCACTAAGCCTCTGAATCCCAGAGCCAGGAGGCAACATCTGGGGAAGGCCTCGGCCTCTCTGCCCTGTTGTTGGCCCTCCAAAGGAACTGGGTTGGCCACTATGTGGGACAGGATGCTGGACTGGATGGACCCTCACTGGTCTGATCCAGCAGGGCTCTTCTGGTGTTCTTCTCAGGGGAAGGCCTCGGCCTCTCTGCCCTGTTGTTGGCCCTCCAAAGGAACTGGGTTGGCCACTATGTGGGACAGGATGCTGGACTGGATGGACCCTCACTGGTCTGATCCAGCAGGGCTCTTCTGATGTTCTTATAATGCCTCGGCCTCTCTGCCTTCTTGTTGGCTCTCGAGAGGAACTGGTTGGCCACTATGTCGGACTGGATGCTGGACTAGATGGGACAATGTTCCCTCTAAGATGTGTTAGTGTGAGCTGGCTCACAGATTTATAGCCTCCAGCTCACACATTTTTGTTTTAGTTCAGGAAGGAGAGCTCCAGAGCAAACTAATTTATGCAGTAGCCAAATCGTTCACTTAGAACTTTAATGCCAGTAGCTCACAAAGTAGAATTTTTGCTCACAAGACTCCACAGCTTAGAGGGAACATTGGATGGGACTATTGGTCTGATTCAGCAGGGCTCTTCTTATGTCTTAAAGCTGTAGCAAGAGTACAGAAGGTCCATTTTCACTGACCATCGGTTAGCCTCCAAGAAATGGGCAAAAACTTTAAGAAGTTCATAGGCCTCCTCAAACGTCAATGAACATTCTAATATTGAACTGATATGAGTCATCACTTCCAGGAAAAAAAATGAATGACCAGACATGCCCAAAGCGTATATTTAAGGGACGCGTCCTGTGAGTTACAAGAAATAATAATTATAATTATCACATGGCATTGTGTGTAGTATAGCCAGGAGATCCTAAGATTGTCTGGCAGCCGCAAGTTCTTGATCTTTTAGTGTTACACACCACTAGGTGGTGAGTCAGACTTGTTCTTAAGGCAAGACACATTTCAGAGGTGGGTTTGCCATTGCCTGTCTCTGCGTCACGACCCTGGTATTCCTTGGAGGTCACCCCTCCAAATACTAGCCAGGGCCGACCCTGTTTGGCTTCAGAGATCTGACGAGATCGGGCTATACAGGGCTATACAAGAAAATTACAAGAGCATGACAAGTTACAAGAAACTTGCCCGCGTTTCGTGAGTCCCTGAAGAGTCTGAAGAAGTGAGCCGTCACTCACGAAAGCGCCTCCCCTGCCACAGATTTTGTTAGTCTTTATGGTGCTCCTGGACCCGTGCGCTTTCCTACTTTTTAAAAAGCAAACGTATGCAGACTTGGCGGAACAATTAGCGGACTTAGATTTCGTCAGCCAGGTGACGGCCTCGGAACCGTTCCCGTACAGCCCCTCTGTCAGCTATGCTGCCATGGGGGTTGGGGAGTTCATTCTGTGTCTGGGAGCGGTGGCACAGAGGGTTTATCCTCTGGTTAACATCTGAACTGAACAGAGTTGCTGTCAGTTCTAGCCCGCGCTGGTGTGAGCTACCAGCCTTGCCCCCAGCTCGCCGTCCACCCAACGGTTCGAAAGCTTCGGCGAGTAGATAAAATGGGTACCACTCCTTAGAGAGGGTGGGCACACTAAACCCCCGTAGGAGAGGTGTTAGCCGGCGAATGGAATGTCCAGCTCGGAAGCTCGGAAGCCTGATAAAAAGACCTCTTCGGCATTAAGAAGCCTGTAATGGGCCAATCTGGCCAGGCGGTGGCAGTGCGGCACTACGATTCAAAGCAGCCCAGGAAGAACCAACGTTATCAAGCCAAGCCGAAAAGTGAATGCCTCCGGAACACGTCTGAAGCCTACAGCTGAACAAAAATCCCCGTCGGCAGCAAAATGTGTGCGATTTAAAGAATTATATGTTGTCCTCCCTTATCCCTATGAAATTGTTAGTCCCTTGTGTGAAACCGTGTAACTGTAAATCGCTCAGAGCCAGCAGCTCTGCCGGATTGAGCAATAAGTAAATCGAAAGGTATTGTTATTATTGCATTCCTATCCCTGCTGTTCTGCCTTTTGCTGAAATGCTTATCTCTACAGATGTGCAGGAGGAGGTTGTGATGTCTGGAGGGCTCCTATGTACTGTGAGAGACTTCTGGTTCCCAGCTTTAGCCACCTAACGGTTGCCTGACTCATCCCGCGCGCGGGAGGGTGCCTAATTGGCCCATGCCATGGGTGTGTGTGTGCATACGAATACCCTATATCCCATTATGCTCTAGTGGCTGTGGCCATTCCTAACAGTGCCTGTGTTACTGCATCTATAGCTTTGCAATAAAAGCATAACCGTTCCTGAATGCGTGTACTTCGTTGTTGGCTGTGGGTTCTGACACCCTCCCTGATGACGGTGAAGAAGGCCTCTCACCTTTTTCTGGTAGCTTCCGACTTCTTCCCGCGTGAACGCTTCCCAGCGCCGTAGCTGGAGGTCCTCCAAACGCAGCTGGCAGGTCTCCCGGTAGGACTTGAGGACGTTCTGGGTTAGGTGCTCTGCGGGAGGCAAGGGGGCAAACGGGTCAGGGGGCTCAGCCCTTTCCAGCTTAAGATCATCAGAAGAGCCCTGCTGGGTCAGACCAGTGAAGGGCCACCTAGCCCCGCATCCCGTCTCACACAGCAATTAGACCAATAATCCACCCAGTCCAGCATCCTGTATCACCCATTGGCCAACCAGTTTCTTTGGAGTGCCAACAACAGGGCAGAGAGGCCAAGGCCTTCCCCTGAGAAGTTCAGAAGAGCCCTGCTGGATCAGGCCAGTGAGGGTCCATCTAGTCCAGCCTCCTGTCTCACAAAGCAGCCAACCAGTTCCTCTGGAGGGTCAACAACAGGGCAGGGAGGCTGAGGCCTTCCCCTGAGAAGAACACCAGAAGAGCCCTGCTGGAACAGACCAACAATCCACCCAGTCCAGCATCCTGTATCACCCAGTGGCCAACCAGTTTCTTTGGAGAGCCAACAACAAGGCAGAGAGGCCGAGGCCCTGCTGGATCAGACCAGTGAGGGTCCATCTAGTCCAGCATCCTGTCTCACACAGCAGCCAACCAGTTCCTCTGGAGGGTCAACAACAGGGCAGAGAGGCCGAGGCCTTCCCCTGAGAAGAACACCAGAAGAGCCCTGCTGGATCAGACCAATAATCCACCCAGTCCAGCATCCTGTATCACCCAGTGGCCAACCAGTTTCTTTGGAGAGCCAACAACAGGGCAGAGAGGCTGAGGCCTTCTTAAGAACATAAGAGGAGCCCTGCTGGATCAGACCAGTGAGGGTCCATCTAGACCAGCATCCTGTCTCACACAGGGGCCAACCAGACCCTCTGGAGGGCCAGCAACAGGGCACACAGGTGTTCTCTCCTTGAATGGGATGCTTCTCTTTGTGTTACCCTGGGAGCTGCCCTCTGTACTATGGACCTGCTGGCTCAATGTCTGTACGCAGGGGTCATATAGTAGAAAAAGAGGTGCAGGGGCTCATTTGCATAACTCATTTGCATATGCCACACCCCCTGAGAAAGGGCAGGCATACAAGCATGCCTGTGTTCCCTGCCAGATCTTCTCCAGGTGCCCCATTAAGAAGATCGGGCAGGGAACCCAGGAGCCCCCTTGCCTCCCGCAGTGCACCTCACCCGGGGAAGGGAAAGAAAGGCGTTTAAATCCCCCCTGGTGGCGGGGAGGGGGGGCTGTGCAGGCCTTCCCTGGCCTGTCTGCCTCGGCTCCTTACTGCCGGAGCGCCGTTCCAGCGCGTTCCGGCAGGAAACGACCCCTGCTTGTACATATATCCACACTAAGCCCAGACATGTGGACTGATAATCCTACTCAGGTCTATTCCATGGGGCTTGGTGGTGGAATGGGGTGTCAAGACGCAGCTCTGTAGGGTTTTCAATGCCAGAGAGGAACGGAGGTGGTTTGCCATTCAGCTTTCTCTGTGTAGCAACCAGGGCTATTTTTGTGCAGGAACGCACAGGAACGGAGTTCCGGCTGGCTCCCAAGTTGGCCACGCCCAGCAGGAACCCATTAGCATAATAGGCCACACCCAACAGCAGGAACTCATTAGGATTGGCTTCATTAGGGGTGTGTGGCCTAACATGCAAAGGAGTTCCTGCTACAAAAAAAGGCCCTGGGTTTTGGCAACAAACAAGGTAAACAGAATAAGAAGCAAAAGGTGGGTGTGGCTGGATGACCACACTTCTGGTAACATGTGCTAATGAGCTGCGCTGTCAGGGATGTGGCCCAATATGCTAATGAGTTCCTGCTGTTGGGTGTGGCCTATTATGCTAATGAGTTCCTGCTGGGCTTTTTCTACAAAAAGAGCCCTGGTAGCAACCCTAGACTTCCTCGGCGGTCTCCCTTCCGAGTCCTAACCACGGCCGACCCTGCTTAGCTTCTGAGATCTGATGACATCAGGCCAGCCTGGGCCACCAGGTAAGGGCAGCGAAGAACGGACGTAGCTTGCCATCGCCTGACTGACTCTACACAGGGATCCTGGACTTCCTTGAGGGCCTCCTATCCAAGTACTCAGCAGGGCTCAGGCAGATCATGAGAAGGAGGGCGGGAAGGGTCGCATCAGTGCTTTGTTACACGCCCAGGGAAACGCCGATCGCCACTTTGGGGTCAGGCAGCACATTTTCTCCAGGCCAGTTTGGCCGGTGATCCTGGAGGTTTTTTGGCATCTTCTGGGCGTGGAGCAGGAGGTCACCGGGGGGTGTGGGGGAGGGAGGCATTTGTGAATCTCCTGCATGGTGCAACGCAATGCTCCCTCTAAGCTGTGGAGCCTTGTGAGCAGAGACTCTACTTTGTGAGCTCCTGGCATGAAAGTCGTGAGCGAGCCGTTTTGTCTACTGCAGAAATCAGTCTGCTCTGGAGCCATCCGTAAGAACCTGAGAGAAGCCCATGTTGGATCAGGCCACTGGCCCATCCAGTCCACACAGTGGCCAGAAATACCAGTGCCATCAGGAGGTCCACCAGTGGGGCCAGGGACACTAGAAGCCCTTCCACTGTTGCCCCCCCCAGCACCAAGAAGACAGTGCATCACTTGCCCCAGAGTATACCTTGTGGCTCATAGCCACTGATGGACCTCTGCTCCATATTCTTATCCATAATAACGTAAGAGAAGCCAATGTTGGATCAGGCCAAAGGCCCATCCAGTCCAACACTCTGTGTCACACAGTGGCCAAAAATACCAGGTGCCATCAGGAGGTCCAGCAGTGGGGCCAGGACATTAGAAGCCCTCCCACTGTTGACCCCCCCAAGCACCAAGGATACAGAGCATCTCTTGCCCCAGACATAAGAACGTAAGAGAAGCCATGTTGGATCAGGCCAATGGCCCATCCAGTCCAACACTCTGTGTCACACAGTGGCCAAAAATACCAGGTGCCATCAGGAGGTCCAGCAGTGGGGCCAGGACATTAGAAGCCCTCCCACTCTTGCCCCCCCAAAGCACCAAGAAGACAGAGAATCACTTGCCCCAGAGTCCCTATCTATACCTTGTTAGCCACTGATGGACCTCTGCTCCATATGCTTATCCATAAGAACATAAGAGAAGCCAATGTTGGATGAGGCCAATGGCCCATCCAGTCCAACACTCTGTCACACAGTGGCCAAACATACCAGGTGCCATCAGGAGGTCCACCAATGGGGTCAGGGACACTAGAAGCCCTCCCACTGTTGCCCCCCCCCCAAGCACCAACAGAGTATCACTTAGCTCATCCTTCCTGAGTTAAGACAAAAATGTTATGAGCCAGAGGCTAAAAAACTGTGAGCTAGCTCACACTAGCTCAGCTTAAAAGGAAAACTGTGTGCAAGGGGCTGGACTAGATGACCCTTCCAACTCGATGATTCTATGATTCTGTTTAGCTGCCGAGGTCTGACGACATCGGGCGAGGCCGGCCCATGCAAGTCAGGGCCCAACCGGGCCTCCTCCCCAGAAAACGTTATTTGGGCTGTACCTTAAGTCTCCTATACTATTCTCTCAAGGAAACGGACCGTGCATTTTTTTAAACACAGCAAACAGGGGTCACCGTAAGAGATGTCCCATAGCGCAACCCCCACGTCTTGGCCGAGCGACGCCCGCCCCGCGGGGTACACTCACCAATCTCAGTCAAGGAAGAGTTGGGAGACTCCAAGAGGCTGGTGAAGCTGGGGGTCGTGTAGAAGTCGAGGTTTTCGCTCCCCGCCATGCTCCCCGCCGGCCGCTTCACCCCGTTGACCTCCGGCCGCAAGAGCTCTGGCGACGCCTGCGTCCCCAGGGTGTAGTAGACGCTCCCCCGGCCTTCCATCTTGAGGCGCTCGGGTCCGAACTCCTTGGCGAAGGGGGCCCGCAGGTCCTCGCTGAGGACGGTCTGGCCCTTGGCCAGCCCGTTCGCGTAGGTCAGCGCCATCGTCTCCTCCGGGGACTGGCTGAGGCGGGCCTGGCCATTCAGCAGGCCGGTGGAGCAGGCCGAAGCCTCCCGCAGGTCAGGGGAGGGTGCCAGCTTCAGCTGCCCGTTGGCGATGCCCAAGGAGTAGGCCGAGGCCCCCGCCTCACCCCCCTGGGCCTGCTGCTGAAGCTGCTTCTGCACCTCGGCGTGGAGGCTGTCCCGCTGCTTCTTGGACATGCGGCCAAATTTGACGGCTGGGGAGGCAGAAAGGAGGAAGTTGAGTGCGGGAGGAATAAAAGAAAACGACTTCAGTTCATGCGAGCGAGACAGAAGAACATCGGAAGAGCCCTGCTGGATCAGACAAGTGAGGGTCCCTCTAGTCCATGATCCTGTCTCACACAGGGGCCAGCCAGTTCCTCTGGAGGGCCAGCAACAGGGCAGAGAGGCCGAGGCCTTCCCCTGAGAAGAACCTCAGAAGAGCCCTTCTGGATCAGACCAGTGAGGGTCCATCCAGTCCAGCATATTGTCCCACACAGGGACCTCAACCAGTTCCTCTGGAGGGCCCACAACAGGGCAGAGAGACCAAGGCCTTCCCCTGAGAAGATGAATACAATAGAGGGCACAGCAAGGTAAGAGTAAGAATAATGAACCAGAAATTGCTGCAAAAAGTTCAAACCATTACAAAACAATGAAAATGATAAATGAACATGTTGCTGATGTGGTAATCTCAAGGTTTATTCTTTATTTCATAGGTAGAACATAGGTAGAAGACGAACAGCTCGAGTTTTCGAAGTTCGTTTCGGGGTCTTTATCATCCAATAACAGGAATTTCAAGTTAACATTCAATAACAGGAATAACAGGAATTTCAAGTTCCAAATGGCTATAGATAGCTCCTATACTAAATACTAGTTCCTTTTGTCCGTTGTAAAGGAACTAGTATATAGTATAGGAGCTATCTATAGCCATTTGGAACTTGAAATTCCTGTTATTCCTGTTATTGGATGTTGTGAATAATTACTCCAATTACTCGAGCTGTTCGTCTTATTCCTGTTATTGGATGTTGTGAATAATTACTCCAACACAGTGGTATTTTTGATAAAGACCCCGAGACGAACTTAGAAAACTCGAGCTGTTCGTCTTCTACCTATGTTCTACCTATGAAATAAAGAAGAAACCTTGAGATTACCACATCAGCAACATGTTTATTGGGCTTTAAAGGTGAGCACCAGCACTTTGAAGCGGATCCGGTATGCTATAGGCAGCCAGTGCAGCGCTTGCAGCACCGGCCGGATGTGGTCCCTCCTCGAGAGACCCATCAGCAGCCTAGCTGCAGCATTCTGCACTAGCTGCAGCTTCCAGATTTGCGACAAAGGCAGCCCCAAGTAGAGAGCGTTACAGTAAGCCTGTGCTCCCCAACAAGAGAGAGAGATTGGAATTATACCCTGCCCTTCACTACTCGAAGGAGTCTCAGAGTGGTTTACAATCCCTTTCCCTTCCCACAACAGACACCCTGTGAGGTAGGTGAGGCGGAGAGAACTCTCTAAAGAACTGCCCATGAAAGAACAGCTCTGAAAGAACTTATGACTGACCCAAGGTCACACCAGCAGCTGCATGTGGAGAAGGGGGGAATCAAAGGTGGTTCTCCCAGATTAGAGTCTGTGCTCTCAACCACTATACCAAACTGGCTGTCTCTCTGATTTAAGGGGGCACACTACCTCTGGTAATGGAGGGAATAGATATCCATCATCATCAGTAGCCATTGACAGCCCAGAACTCCATGAATTTGTCCACTCCCCTTTAAAAGCCTCCCATGTTGGCAGCCATAATCACATCCTGTGGCAGCGAGTTCCACAGTTTAACTATGCATTGTGTGAAGAAATATTCCCTTTTGTCTGTCCAGTATCTCCCATCCTTCAGCTTCAGTGGATAACCTTGGGTTCTAGTAGTATGGGAAAGGGGTCCACTCACTCCATGCCATGCATAATTTTATAAACCTCGATTATTTCCTCACTTCAGTCGTCTCTTTTCAGCCTTCTCCACCCCGTTCATAATTTTATAAATCTCTACCATGTCTCCCCTTACTCGCCTTTTTTCTGCACTTTAGCTTTAGAAAGCTATCGTGTACCTTCCAACTGTACTCTGGGGCCCCATCAGGTTCCCAGGTCAGGCCCTGCCCTGTCCAAGCACTGACGAGACCCCAGACCTGCGTAGCTTTAGCAAGGTTGTGATACCTTGTGTCTGGGGCTGCTACGTCATGCCTAACAAAAATTTTGACAGGGTGAAGAACTGCAGTTTGGCTCTTAAACATATGCAGAGCACAGGGCTCTTGCCCTTTTAATAATTGCACAGCATAGGGAATTTCACTTCGGTCGGGCCAGGTTTCCTCCTCTCTGCATGAAATGCTACACCTGCCCAAATTCCTTTGTTGAACAGCAATGAAAGGCACAAGAATCTTTGCATCTTGTTACCCTGCTGAAGTCGATTGAAAAAAAAAAACATGCCTGCAATGCCTCACTGAACTCTTTCTGCCTTGTATACAAGACAGATTGGAAGCGCATAACCAGTGACATTTACAGTCAAAGACTGGTGTTAACTCTTTAATAGCAAGAAGCCCGAGCTTAATGAATTCTAGCTTTGCCCCGTACAACAGAAGGTAAGTCACCATGACTAGGAGACTAGGAAACACACTGTTTAATGAAACTCACAGGCTCATATGAAAGGGAAACTCCATAGTGTGCAAGGTCAGTTTCAGAAAGATCTGAAATAGGTTACCCGGCTGGAGGATGCTGATCCCAGAGCCCAAGGAGAAGAGGAAAGGCCAGAGTTCCCCAAAGGATGCGAGTCTCAGAGCTTCCGCTTTTGAAAGGTTTGGACGAGTGAGTTCTTCAAAGGGGAGGAAAGAACAAAAAGAAACTCCCAAGGACGAAGTAGTTCTTCAGCCAAGCCAAACTAGGGAATATTTTCCTGAAGGTACGAAATCAAATATTTTAATGCTCCCCATGTAAATAAATAAAAGGATTCCACATACCAAACTATTATGTCTGTTGCTCATTTCTAAATGCTGGTTCTTACCTCTAAGGCCCGAAATAGCTCTGGGCCAGGGTACCTGAAGGGCTGTCTCCTCCCAGACAGTCCAAACCCCCAGCTAAGATCTTTCTCACAAGGAAGATCTCTGTGCCCCCGACAGAGGTCAGGTTGGGGTTGAACTGAGACACAGCCTATTGGTAGGGCCTTGCCTGTAGAATGCTTTACCCTTGTGGTTCACCTGATGCCTAACTACTCACTTTTAAGTGCCAAGTTAAAGGGTTTCTTTTTATCCAGGCTTTTAAGTAAGGGTTTGATCTTTTAAAATTGTGATTACACTTTTATTCAAGACTGAAAATTGCTTTATGAGTCTTGTTTTAACTTGCTGTTCTATGGTCCCGGTCACACGGCAAAGTTGCCATGGGAGAGGCATGGATGGTGGGTGGATTATCCAGGCGTGATCACACCCCAACATCTGGGAAGTGGAGCGCACCCGTGGCTTACCGCCGACAATGTGCATTAAAAAACGAGTACGTCCAAGGTACTAGTAAACGTATGCCACGGGCTGCCTCCAGACATCCAGAGTGTGATCACGCCGACGCGCGGCATTCCCCTCTGGTCCCTCGTTTACCCGCCGGATCAAACTGCGCCGGGGCAATTAGCCATGCCCCCCCCCTCACGATATCCGGCCCGTGTGACAGGGGCCTATGCTATCTTTATGCTTTGCCTGGGTCATTCATATTTGGGATTTAGTGTTGGGTTTTAATACTTTAGCCATTGTTAATTACGTTTATGTTGTTTCATGTACTTTGTGAGCTACCAGGAGCAGGTTCTCTAAAGAGGCATCATGGAAATCTTCTAAATGAATAAAAAGTTACCCAGGTTTTTTGTTTGTCATCATATCAGCATCCCAGTGGCTAATACAGAAGGTTTGAACATGGTGTTTTTGCAGGTGGATGTACTGCATTTTATCTGCTGTTGTATTGTGTATCTCCTCCTTTTAATCAGTGTTTACTTGTTGTTTTTACTTATGTTTGACATACTGTTTTGATGTTTTAAAGTGTTTCATTTTTAATGTTATGGTTGCAACAAGACACTGTCTTGAATTTTTTAATGCAAAATGTGGCCTCACAATACTCTAAATAAACAAGTAAGTAAATAGACCATCACCGTAATGCCAACATTCTGCACACTTGGCCCCTCCCCCTGCAGAGTATCTTATGCAAAGGAGCTTGCTGACTGACTATGATGCCTTGTGAGCATTTCCAATTCCATCTCAAAACCTCTGCCTTTGCCCTACCAACTGCTCCAAAGAGGATGTATCACAATTCTAAATTCATAACTTCACAAAACCAATCTGTAGGAGCAAGAGAGGGGGAGCCTCCTATTGGCTTGCTTGGCCCACCTAGCACCTCCAGGTTGGGAAACTCCTGCAGACTTGGGGGTGGAGCCTTGGGAGGTGCAGTTCAGTAAGAGATAGGGTTGACAGGTCTGGCCTCCTCCTCGGTGAGGGACTTTGGGGGGGGCGTTCCTGGAGGGGGAGGGGACATCCCCAACGTGATGACATCGTGTTGGGGATGTCCCCGCTCCCAAGCCCAGCCCCCAACAACAGCCACCTGCAGCCACCCCTCTCCCTCCCCTCCTGCTAGATTTAAAGGGCCCTCCAGCTTATCTGGGGAGCACATGGCCCAACAATCAGCTGGAGGGCTCTTTAAATCTTACAGGGAGGGAGGGAGAGGGGCAGCCCCACTTGACCAAAAGCCTTTAAAGGGACCCTTTAAATGCTTTTGGTGACCAGGGCCACACGCACCTGAATTCCAAGTGGCAAATTAACACTTGGAGTTCAGGCATGTGGCTTGCGGCAGCCCCTCTGCCCCGAGACTATGTGCTCCCCCCAATCAGCTGGAGGGGCCTTTAAATCTCACAGGAGGGGAAGGAGAGTGGTGGCAGCAGGTGGTCATTGTAGGGGGGCGGCTTGGAGGCAGGGCTTCCCTTGCTGGGCAGCTGGTGGGTGGCGGGCTGAAGCACTGAAAATTGGGCGAGCCCCCACCCAGACTGGGGGTCTGTCAACCCTAACGAGGGAAGCAGCCTCCGCAGGGTATGATGCCATGCAGTCAACCCTCGAAAGCAAACATTTTCTCCAGGGGAACTGATCTCGACAGAGATGTTATAATTCCCAGTGATCTCCAGCCCCGACCTGAAGGCTGGCAACCCTACACCTGGC